CATATGAAGAATAGTTATTTGTCTATGGGTTTTCAATTTTTTTAATAATTAAAAAATTACTGGACCAACACAAAAGTGCCGGACGGGACGCTAAAACGTGTCTGATCGTCTCCTACCTTATTTTACATAGTTGCCCATTCTCTACTGTACACATATCAAAACAGTTATTCGTCTGTGACTTTTAAATTCCTTAATAAGTAAAAATGTTTCCAAACCAAACAAGAGTGCCCGGATGGGTTTCTAAAATGTGTTGGTTCGTCTCTGAACATATCTCTTATCATTACTCATTCCCTAATGTACACATACCAAAAATAGCAACTAGTTTATAAATTCTTTATTTTACTTTAATTTTTTATTTATTTCTTTTTTGTAACTAAAGATATTGCTGAACCAATACGAACTACCATGAAAAGCCTACAATGCCTGAATTTGATCGCACTATAGAAACACAAGAAATGTGATTTGGCTAAAGTGTCTCACTCTCAAATACAGAACACTTCGGCTCGTTAATTGGAACAGTCCATTTACAGATTGTCCACTGCATCGGATAAGTTGCATTGTGAAATCTTGTATGAATTTCCGAATGCAGTACTGTAACAACCACTGTCAGACTTTGTTTCCGAATGCAGTACTTAACTACCAATGTACGAGTGTGTTTCTGAATGCAATACTTAACTACCAATGTCAGACTTTGTTTCCGAATGCAGTACTATAACAACCAATGTCAGACTTTGTTTCCGAATGCAGTACTGTAACAACCAATGCAAGGGTTTGTTTCTATTCATCTACATGATGATAATAATAATTTATTGCTAGAACTAAACTTGCTGAAACCATTTGTTAAATAAGATTATTACTATTATAACAATAATGTATCGTTTGTTGATAAGACAATTATTATATCTCCTCCTTCTTCATTCTTACCCATATTGTTGTGGTATGTATATCTTGAGGGAGAGGAGCCCGACAAAACAAGAGATTCGTTAATCTCATGTGTGGGTCCTTATTCTATACGGGTGTAACAGTTGAACAGCAAAGAACGAGACAGAGACAGATTTCACAAAACAAAACAAACATCAATGTCTACTACAACTTCACAGTCTAAAAGTTTAAATAAAACAAACAATAGACCAATAATTTACAGTACGGTGTTACAGAGCGAAATAATGATTAATTTGTGAATAAAGAAAATGGTTTAATAGTTTCGTTTTGAGTTTAATTATTGATTATAAGTGTTATTTTGTTACAAGTTTAAGTTTTTACAGTAAGGAATAATATTCTTGAAACTAGTATGATATTTCGATCACTGGTGCGATCATTCTCAAGAATATTCTTCCTTACCATAATGGCCCGGCATGGCCAAGTGGTTCTGGTGCTCGACTCGCAATCTGAGGGTCGGGGGTTTGATCTTTCTGAGGTAAATACTCGTGCTTTTATCTCCAATGAAGAGCAATAACTTCATTAGTGTAACATCTGTTAGAATCTTGATGTTATCATTCATTAAAGTGTAATACTCTTTGACACATGTTATGTAGGTCAGTTGATATCTGTTCTTGGACATACTCCAATGACCCCAGAAAGAGTTAAAACAAAGTTTTGCAATTGACCTTCTGCCTGGATTAAAATCGATGTTCTGGGTCAGTTTCACTCCTTCCTTTGCATCATACTGTTCAATATATTCCTGTTTTGCCTCTGATGTAACACATTGTGAGAATCATCCTGAACTTTCCTGTTTAATTTTTAGAAATGTGTCTATATAATTTTAAAACAGTTACGTGGATCTTTCAGGGAAATGGTAAACTTGATATATTTTTAGCACACGATAGCCACATTCGATCGCATTTTTCACTTCTTCTGTAACCCATACGCCAATAGAAGTTATCTTGTTATCAGAGTGGTTACATTGTGGCAGTATTCTTAAATCAACATATATGTTACAGAGATTGAAAGTTAATTTACCATTACTTCTCAGAGGTAAAACAGGTGATGTAGTTTCCTTGGAGCTAGAATTTTGCACTTAATGAAATAACTATGCACACCTGAAACATTTGTTTTTGTATGACCAACTGGATACTCACAGTACTTCTTCATCCATGGATATACAGATGTAAAGTCAATTTACTTGGTCTTTTCACCTCCCTTCACATCATACAAAAGTTTAGTAGCATTGCCTCTACCACCATATAAACTTCCCGTACATCTAAGCTTGGAACTACTGTGTGGTCCTTAAGAAAACTAATTAAATTTGTATTAGTGGATTTCATACGATTGAATTCATGTTCCCAGATCGAAACAAATTTATACCCCAGAGTTTCTAGTTTATGTTGTCTGTTCAATATATGCTTTCTAACAGACCAC